ATTCTCACTAATTTTTATAGTAAACATTATATCTGGATGATCCTCAACTGTAGAATTTGAGGAATTTGATGATTTATAATTTTTACTAGCGCGACTTTGCTTTTATTCTCTAAAATTATATATATATAAATTAATTGAAATATTTCAAAGGATAAATTACTTAATTTAAAAACTTTACTTTAATTCACAATTAATGTCTATTGGTAAGTTTTCTAGTGCAATAGAAATGAGTGGTTCCACAACTTGTGATACATAAATTCTCTCAAATTGATCTTTGGACCAAATTATATTTAAATTCCAAATAGTAGTTCTAAAAATAACATTCTCATTTAAGATCTTTGCTAGTATGATGATGCTGAATTATTTCTTTACATTCTTCTATTACACTTTTATCTAATGTTAATCTTTTTGATAAACTTCCCTATAACGATAACAATTAAAATATAACAATTAGAAAATAAATTCTGTTATACTACCTAATAGATAAAATTTATTTATCTTAAGAAAATCAATTGTGTTATTTTTAAGGTAAGAATGAGCCCAATTAGAAGAGATATCAATAACTTCTATTGTTAATGGGTCGTTATCATCAAATTTTGTTAAATCTGCATTATATAAGGTCTCCAATGCATTATAGACATCATCATAAGCATTGCGTGCTTCTTCTGAATGGTTTGGATTTACCTTATTTCGAGCCTATTTTAATAAATAAATATCAATATTAGACAATACCTTTAAATAAATAGAAAACGAAATAGTAAAATATAATAGCGATTGTACTTTCCAAGACACTCTTTAAATTTTATATATATATACAAATATCATTTTGCTTATCCTTGTTTTTACATGCAGCAGAGAACGAGGTAGCAAACTTATTATTCGTCGTCATGAGCTAGATCCCCCGGGACTTCGTCTCAAAGTTCAACCCATGCAATTCAACTTCAACACTACTCAGTTCTAAATTACATACCAACCATCATTACCAATATAATGCATTACTAACACTCACACTAATTACTATTCACTTTTTTTTTTT